GATGATTCACTATTTGGTCTTTTCCGAATGTTCTATTTTCTTAGAATGATCGAAAATAGTGACCTACCACGAGATGTGTCACTATTCCAATCACATTCGTTATACTCCCATATCACTGAATGACTTGATTTCTCTCGCCAAGTAGTGTCCTATCATGCGATGAACACCTACTTGTCTTTCGATCAGGATAGTGATCTACCATGCGATGATTCGATATCTAAACCTTGCTGAACGTTCTATCTCTTTAGAATGATCGCAAATAGTAGCCTACCATATGATGTGCCGTTATTCTAATCACAGTCGTTATACATTCACGTCACTAAACGACTTGATTACCTCCACACCGTCATTCCTACAAATGACGTTGTTCGTTGATAGTGGCCTACCAAGCGATGAGCCCCTATCTACCATTTGTTCCTAAATAGTGACCTATCATGCGATGAGTCACTATTCATCAACGGCATCACCACACCCCAGCATGCCTACCATGCGATAAGCCTCGCTTTCATAACACCAGGTTGAGTTGTTATAACGAACGACACAACCAAACTTGATTATAACTTAACTGTTATAATTATGTTCAAACACTTAATCCAACGCCTCGAATGGCTAAGGATAGAGGAAAAATCTTAGCATTTAGCCTAAGAGAAACTCCTCGATAACTTACCATGTTAAGGGTAAACGTATAGCTAGTCCAACTCAAACGACGGTAAAGACAAATCAAGTCCATTGATAGATGAGAGTTTGCTAAAACTCCTAGGTGGCGATTATTAGCTGCGTCTGAAGAGCTCAACCTCTCCAGAATAGCCAAGTTCGGTGGAAGGCTCCTCATTTCATCTTAATAATGCTCATTTTGCAGGCCTTAAGATCCAAAATATTTCAGACCCCATGCAACCCAATTTGGATATGAAAACTTTAGAGGGGGTTTTGTAGGCAATAAAAATTACCTTAATTCCTAGCAAAGAAACTCGAAACTGACAAAAATACTGATATCTCTCAAATCGGAGGGAATTTGACTAAACGGACGACGGCAAACCAAACTTCGGTCGGTTTGGCCAGCCTCATCTCGAAAAAAATATGCGATTTTATATATAATTCGTCCAATTCCGACTTACGGTTTGTAAGATATGACATGTTCTTCGCAGCGAGTTATATTCCTCGACGCCTGCGAAGACTTAAGTTCGCCTAAAGGCTTAAGTTCACCTGAAGGCTGAGCTTCGCCTAATAGCTTCGCCCACGAGGTTTGCCCGCATATTCCGACCTCTCCTGCATAAGCCAAGCTCGCCTGAACGCTTGAAGCTCGCCTGATAGCTTCGCCTATGAGGTTCGCCTACAAGAAATCCAATCCGCCTGCAAGCTCACCACGAAGCCAAGCTCACCAAGAGGACAAGCTCGCCCAGCAACGAGACACGTCATTAAAGACGAAGTTTACCCAGAAACGAGACTCGTCATTGAAGACGAAGCTCGTCCAGAAACGAAGCTCGTTATTGATGACCAATCTTGCCCAGAAACGAGGCTCGTCATTGAAGACGAAACGAACCTCACTGCGCATTGAGGCTCTTCTCATCTAACGAACCTCGTCACACAGCGAGGCTCGCCACACACAGCAAGGCTCGTCATACCTAGTGAGGCTCGACGCCAGGCGGTTAGCGGCCTTAGACCTAGTCAGCCCACGTGGGCTAAACCTAAGGAGTCAGTTACGCCCCGACTCCCTGATTTCGTGCATCAGTTACACGCTAAGGCCTATAAATTGCCATGAGCAGCTATGAGGCCAGGGCGGGGGAGGGGGGGGGGAATACGCATACACAGGGCCATCACTCACATTTTAAGAGTTCTTTGAAGACCGAACCTCTGTTGTTGCAGCCTAAACCATTGTCAGAAGCTTTTGCGATCTTATTATGATCGTCAACGGGAAGCAAACTCGGCTTGAGTATCGAATGAGGCATCCTTTCACCACCAAGAACCCACCTTAAATAAAAGAGAAGTTAAATATACCTTCTCGTCCTCTGTAATTGAAATGGAGCGATTGTAAGAGATTCGTACCGAGTGATCAAACCCAATTCTTCAATACAAGAAATCAATCGTACATTTTTCAACCCTACAAACCACAATATGTAGATAAAAGAAATGTTAATGATGTCTAATTCTTTGACAGTTGAATATTTTTTAAGTGTTGCTTTGCTGAACTATATGCGGACTTAAGTTTTTTAAGTGTTGCTTTGCTATTTATAGTTAGGAAACGAAACAAGCACAAGGTACTTTCTGCTGCAAAAACTTGAACAGAGATAACCAGATTCACCACATTGATTTCAATTGATGGTTTAATGAACTTCAATTGATGGTGTAATGAACAAATGAACCAGATTCACCACATTGATTTCAATTGATGGTTTAATGAACTTCAATTGATGGTGTAATGAACAAATGACAATGATATGGTAACTTCTTAATCATTGATGGTTTAATGAACTTCAATTGATGGTGTAATGAACAAATGACAATGATATGGTAACTTCTTAATCGATCAAATGTTCAGAGTTTTAGAGCTCAACCACAGTATGTAGATAAAAGAAATGTTAATGACGTCTGATTCTTCGAGAGTTGAATATTTTTTAAGTGTTGCTCTGCTGAACTATAGGCGGGCTTAAGTTTTTTTTTTTTTTTTTTTCCCCCCTTTTTTTTTTTGCCCCCCTTCTCAAATTAAAAGGATTCAAACTGACCCATAAATATAGCATTCCATTATATAGTGTATTACAAGAAATAATACATCACCATCTCATTGTACAAAAGGAGAAAAAACCAAAGCAAGCAATCCTTTGTTCAAGAATTGTACTAAAACTGACGACCCTTCTACTTTAATTACAACAGCAACAAACTGTTAATGACTTGCTACGAGCTCATTTGTGATTCTGAGATAACCTGCTGCAAGTACTTGAAAGATCTCTGATAACTAACAAAACCCATGAACCAAAACTCAAAATCGTCGACAGTAACAATCTGAACATACTTCTGATTAGGCTTGTTCACATTCTCACTAGGGCTAACTCTCTGTATCTTGCTCAATGGAATAGAAACCTTATAAGGAATTCTAATTAGTTCTCCTTTAGGAGAGGTGAATGTGAGAGACCTGTCACTCCGAAAAGCAATCTTCTCAGTCGAAATAAATAGCAATCCTGCGATAGGACCTGAAGTTGTCGATAAATAACACTGACAAGCCTTCAGAAGTTTCTCTCTTTTTGAAACGGAGAAATATCGTCTGAATACTTTCTCAATTCCCCCTGCCTTGAGGATTCTTGCCCCTAAGCTCAATTTCCCTTTTACAGTTTCGGATATCTTTGGCGCCAAAGTAACTGCAAATTCCATACTAGAATGTCAGCACTGATTTTCATCGGTAACATATTTGATTGATATTTGATCATAATATTTAAAACCGTATTGTTAACATGTTAACTTACCATGATCTCTAATTCCTTGTGCATAGCTATCTGCCTTCTTGCTAAACTTGCTCATCCAATCAATGACTGAATCCTTCTTTGCTAAAGAGCATTCATATGAAGATGCGTATCTAGCATTAGCCACCGGAATACCGATGACCTGACCATGATTCTGATTCTTCATATTTAGCTCAAACCGACGAATCTTCCACTGCTTCTACCCTTTGAGAGAGTGCGAGATTGAGGATGATCTTGGCTACAAGTTGAGAGGAGGCAAGGTGGGTTCTTATAACGTGAAGAAACCTAAAAGTGGGTGGCAACATTCAGAGCAGTAGTGGTTGAATGAATCAGTGGCATATGCTTTAGAGTCATCATCATGTTGTCTTCACAAAATGTTTAAAAGGGGGAAGTATTAGCTTTCTGGAATCCCATATGGCAAAACATTTCCATAGGTTGGGGGAGCATATAATAATAATAACGATAAAGACCTTGAAGGAAAACTGGCAGCCCACTAAAAAATAAAGTAGTGTGTGTTCTCTTTTGGACAGATTTGGAGATCAGCTGACACTTAACTGTTGAAGATTTGCTGCTTTTAGCTACAAGGGTAGGGTAGGCAAGCTGATTCGTGAATGAATGGTCTGAGTGTGCAGCTGGTGTAGATTTTGAGGACTAAAGAGGCCCCTACGGGAAAATCATATAATAGGGAGACAGGGTTCACGGAGCATATCAACTTAGTAGTATTTTTTTATGCGCATATCACTATTATCTATCAGTACAGTCAGACGACAATTCAATATCTATGTCCCCATTCTCCCTGTGTAATTTCCATGGAGGACCATCTATAGGATTTTTCTTTCCCATCTGGACTCCCGTCTGATGTGTAAAATCCCTCGCCATTGCTGAATTTTATCTATTTGATTGTCATCAGAAGCAGCGCTGAGTCAGGCCTTTAGGATAATAAAAGCTTTTGAGCTGGAGTGGGAGCTCATCCGCTCTTGCTTGGCTGTAAAGAGATGTGGTTTCAAGGTAAAGAGAGAACAAACCACATCTCTCGGCACGTTTGTTAAAGGCAAATCAGAGTAGATTTTCAACTGTTGCAAACAAAAGCGAGCTCATCATGTCCAAAAGCTTTAATCAACTACCGAAAAAGCCAAATTGAGTTATATAATCTTTGTTCATAGCTTTCTCAGCTCTATAATTTCTGTAAATCCTAGCCAAAAAATCATAGTCTGGTTCCTGAACATCAGCTAAAACCAGGGAGAAGTAAAATATAAGGCAGAACGGCCGGTGCCGATATAGACAAGACTCTCTCTCTCTCTCTCTCTCTCTCTCTCTCTCTCTCTCTCTCGTATATAAGCTCGCAAGGGACAAAGCTAAACTCAGAGAAAGATGCGAAGAACAATAGCAGAGTCTGATTAGATCATCACTGAATCAAAATCCATGTGTCAACCTGAATTTCTCAGAATGACCTAACAGAATCACGGTCAACTATGTTTAGTACCCAGAAATGATTAGTCTTATAAGATAAAAATACAACAATATACAGAAAACCGGAAATTGTAACGATATCTAAACCACCATTAGGTATTTAATACCAATCAATAACAAAGACAAAGCCTTTATCATGAATTTTTGGGGTAGATGACTCTAAATGACAAAACAAATATGTGTCAAAACACTCAGACCGTTTCGTTTGTATGTAAAAGCTAACTCCTCTCTCTACACTAGTAAGGTCGACAACTAATCAAAGAGGAACTACAAAAGATATTGCAGAGGCGACAAGTTCAAACTCCCTGAACAATTCCATGTTTTATGAAGCTAAGCAACAGGCACTGCTTCTCCTCAGCAAATCAAAGAGTCTTGAACCACCTATCGACGTTTATTGGACTTTGAAAAGGTGTTCTTTGTATTCTTCGTTGGAGTCTCTGGATGGGCATTTTCCATTTGAATCTCCAGATATGCATTTTCCATTTGCTGCTCAGGATAGGCATTCTCCACTTGATTGCTGGTAACTGGAGCTGGCATTCTATAAACCAAAGGTGGAGCAACCGAATTTCGAGGAAGAGGATAGTTCACGGGTGTGCCAACTGCATGTGAGCCCACAACTGGACGGCCGATGGCAGGCCCAGATGGGACCCGAGGACTGCCAGCTGGCGTCTGATGTGTTTGTTGAGCTGGAGATGGCACGTACTGCCCAGTAATAGGACCTACCTTCTCTCCAGTAGGGTTTACACTGGTAATATCATGAATGCTTGATCGTCTCTTGTCTTTGGTGCCTGCCTTCTCTCCAGTAGGGTTTACACTGGTAATATCATGAATGCTTGATCGTCTCTTGTCTTTGGTGCCTGGAGTCAACCGGATGAAGTACTTCTGTGCATGGCTTGCTACTTGCGTTGGTGTTCTAGATATCACGAAGTTTCTTGATATGCTTCGCCAATCTCCTTTGCCATATTTCTCAAGACCCAAAAGAAATAATCTGTTTCACCAAAGAAGATAACCAAGATGATGATGACTAAACACAGAAGTATCTGGTTCAAGACTAAAATTTAACAAAGTATCTAGTTTAGGAAATCAGACTGACAAAAACTGAGTGATGCATATTATGTATAAAAGTACCCAGCAGAAGAAACATTAATGTGCCTATAATGCATAATAGTATCTCCGAGAAGAAAGTAACATAAAGCCAAGCAATTACCATGTCACCAATACAGAAACACAGGAAAATTTACAGTAAGCTCCCAATGGTCACGCATTTTTGTCAAATTGTCAAGGGATAGCATATGACTGATCTCATTTAAAGGGGCAAAATGACCAGATTGGTATATTTTTTCGAGGCTTGGTGACATATTGGTATATTTTCTTTTAGTTTTGTCAAATTGATATATTTTTTCAATTCCGGCGTCATATAGGCCTTAAATTTGACCGGAGTTACTGTTCTGACCAATGCTGATGGGATTTTTTGCATAAAACCCCCTCATCAAATACATTTTCCTACTCCTAACCCTCCCCCTCCCTCCTCCTCATCATCCTCTTCAAGCTCACCCTCTCCCTCCTCATCCTCTCCCTCCTCCTCCCTCTTCCTGATCCCCTCCATCTTCTCCTCCCCCTCCCTCCTCTCCTCCGGCCCTCTCCACTTCCGCCCATTCTCTGCCACCGCCTCCCTCTCTCTCCTCCCCTCCCTCCAAATCCCTCTGCCTCTCCCCTTTTAAATTATCAAACTTGATTTTTCATGATCCCTAGTTGAATTGAAGAAGCAGAGCTCATGCTGCATGCAATTGACCAACAAGACTGATCATATGTGGCCTTCAAGGTAACTAATTTAGGTGTTTACTTTGTATTCTCCTCAAATGTCACTCTCTTAGCAGTGCCTCCTTTAAAGAAAATAGATGTTTAATGTCTATTTCCAATGGCCTATTGGTAATGCTTCACGTTTCTTGCTTCGGTTTGTAGGTTAAAACCACCAATCCTAAGAAATATTGTGTACGACCTAATGCGGGAATTGTTCTCCCTGGGTCAACATGTGATGTCACTGGTATATGTCTTCTTATTTGTATCGTGTAGTTTCAAGTCTTTGGTATGCTTTTAACATGTAATAGTCTATATGTCATATTCGCATCCTTTAACATGTAATAATTCTTGCTTTAGCAATACTTTGTGATGGGATTGCTAGAGTTTCATTGTTAGTTAGTAATCCCTTGAATGAATATGCATTATTCTTGTTGTTTTATGTTTAGTTATAGAGTTTCATTGTTAGTTAGTAATCCCTTGAATGAATATGCATTATTCTTGTTGTTTTATGTTTAGTTACAATGCAAGCTCAATCCCTTGAATGAATATGCATTATTCTTGTTGTTTTATGTTTAGTTACAATGCAAGCTCAAAAGGAGTCTTCACTGGACATGCAATGTAAAGACAAATTCCTCCTTCAAAGTGTTGTGGCTGAGCATGGTGCGACGTCGAAGGACATAACCCCTGAAATGGTACACTCTTTGTTGATACTTTTTGACTAATAATTATTTTTCATTTCATTTATTTGGGACTTGTATGGTTATTGTTGAATGCTTTGTGTTTTAGTTCAATGAGAAGTCCTCAGAGGTGATTTGTTCTTTTCTCATCATTTAGTATATGGAACATCCTGTGATGCAAATGAATTTGCCTTCGCTAATTGATTGTAAGACAAATAAAAGAGAACCAAAGTCATCTAGTATCACAAAAGCTCCAAGACATCAACAAGGATAATGTCATTGATGTTGTTTGTTTGAGATAGATGGTTTGTTATCTTCGCAAGCCCTTCAATTCCACATTTTCAACTATACGTGTTATCTATAATGCACTTCATGTAACTTTCTGATAAATTTCAAAGGGTGTTATATTTGTTCTGTGTTTATTGAATTTGCACTTTCTTGTGTTCTGTAAATGATGTCAACATGGCCACCATGACATGATAAATTCTTTATATGGTACGACATGGACACTTTGTCATGGTTATGCATAATACATGTGATAAGTTTGGTGCATGCATGGGTCCGTGCACAATGCACATCAAATCATGATCAAGGACATGAATCTCTTAAGCAGAAGGGGAAAAAAAATCAAAACCTTATCTATCTAAATTCATATTGCTAATCGGTTATCTGAGTCAAAGCAAAAAATAGAGAGAAAAAGAAAGAAAGAAAGAAAGAAAGAAAGAAAGAAAGAAAGTCCTGACCAATACTTCAACATGAATGTTGTTAGCTTCATGTTGCTTCAGATTGGTGGGAGGGGAGGAGAGAGAGGGAGGCGGCGGCAGAGAATGGGCGGAGAGGCGGAGGGATTTGGAGGGGAGGAGAGAGAAGGAGGCAGCGACAGAGAATGGGCGGAGAGGCGGAGGGATTTGGAGGGAGGGGAGGAGAGAGAGGGAGGCTGCGGCAGAGAATGGACGGAGGTGGAGAGGGCCGAAGGAGGAGGAAGAGGAGAGGAGGGAGGGGGAGGAGAAGATGGAGGGGATCGGGAAGAGGTATGAGGAGGGAGGAGGGAGAGGATGAGGAGGAGGGAGAGGGGGAGGTTGAAGAGGATGAGGAGGAGGGAGGGGGGGGGTTGAAGGGTTTGATGCAGGAAACTGTATTTGATGAGGGGGTTTTATACAAAAAATCTCATCAGCACTGGTCGGAACAGTAACTCCGGTCAAATTTAAGGCTTATATAGCGCCGGAGTTGAAAAAATATACAAATCTGACAAAATTAAAAGAAAATATACCAATATGTCACCAAGCCTCGAAAAAATATACCAATCTAGTCATTTTGCCCATTTAAAGATTTTTACTGTGGAGGTTGTCAAAAAACCAGAATTGTCATTCAACTACTGCCGAAAAACAGATGAAATAAAAAGGATTAGTGGGGCAGTAGAAGAGGGAAGGGAGTGCATCAAACAAAAAACCAATAATAGATACCGTTGTAATAAGAATTATACTATAATGCAATGGGGGAAATCCATGTTATTTTCCAATAGCACAGGAAACACAATATCATAACAGTTTACTCACAAAACTGTTAATAAGGAAACCAATCTCATTACCAAGCAAAAATGTCAGACATATGAGAGAGACTAGTATATGCACGGCAGAACTGAAAAATACAAAGGCACTTGCATATGGATGAAGAAACAAAAGTAAAAGATCTACCATGTCTGTATTTATATTCTGCACAGCGTCCTCATTGTAGTAATCGCTACATGCTAAAGAAGCATACGAGCTTCAATTACACCAAATGACTATGTATTCGTTCTTGCATAAATCACCAAAAGAATGATTGTGAATAGAAACATATAAATGACACCCGCAGCAACTGAAAAATAGCTAAAGTGGCCCCACCAAAACTCAAAAATTAATCCACTAAACAAATTTTCTTCAGGATGAAGGGATTATGCAGAAATTGTAACAAATGTTCAAACAGGGTTAAATGTGCTCCAAAAGACTTTAAAGTTCGAGCAAAAAAATCTCAATATGACTAACCAATATAGGAAATGGAAGAAAGTACAAGGAGATGAGATTTATTTTCAGCATGTTGCGCGGAAAATATCACGTAAGCCTATGTTGCACAGGTACTTCTATTTGGACCGTACCCATGTCGTACCCGTACCCAACACCGAGACTTTAATGGACACTCCTTAGATATTTGCATATACTTATTCACATGTGTACTCAACTATATAATATATGTTTTAATTTAAAACACGTGTCATATTCTAATTGGACATATCTCCTACACTTCACATGCAATCCTTGAAACTCGCAGGACGTAAGTTGGGTTCGTTTCTACCCATACCTAGTTCAAAAAAACTACGACTACGAAGGGTCTTTTGGATATCAACTTCAAAACGAGCAGTTTTCTAATATATTATAAAAGAAACATATAAATGTTATAGGAATTTTATTTCATAGCCCATGAAATGAAAAAAAGTATTGATTTCATGTGAATTGTTATTATATATACATGTATGTATATCTGTGTTCATGTACCCTACTTTTATAAATTTATTATGTCCCAAACCTGTATCAGCACCCATACCCATATCCGTGGCTGTATCTGTGTAACTAAGACGAAGCGCACACAAAATAATAGACAGGAAAACTAATATCAAGTAATAAGGTGAGTAAGATGCCCATGGTAGTATGACACAGTAAGTTCCTGTGGATATTTTTTGTCACAAAGTGAGTGAAAGGGAAAAGAAAAAAGAAAAAAAATTAAGAGGGTTCAATTAGGCCTGTCCATCCGGGCCCGGGTCGGGCAAAACCGGGGCTCGGACCCGGGCCCGACCGGGCCGGGTTTCGGACTGGCCCAGATTTTTTTTTTTTTTTAGATTTTATTTAAATTTTAAATTATACAAAAAAAGGACAAGAAAAATAATAAATAACAATAATTTTATTAATCACTTAAAATGACATAAATTACAAATAAAAAATAATAAAAATAAATTCGTTATTAATAATTAATAAATCATTTACAAATTACAAGTATAAATTTATTTTGGAATTAATCGCATCACAATAGATAAGTAAATCTCAACTAGGTTGGCACCTACTCATCTATATCACTATCATTTATAACTATTTCTAAAATAATTCTTTACAAATTTTAAGCTAAGACCTAAGATATAAAAATTACAATTTATTCTTTATATCTATCTGCTAGTCTCAATTCTTCAAATTTATCTTCAATTCTAGCCATCCGATCGATGTCTTGCGTTCGCTTCTCGTACCTTCACCAATCTTGTAAGCACATCACCGCTTGTACAGTGTACGGATCTAAGCATATCTTGTGGTCGTCGATCAAACGTCCTGCTGTGCTAAAGGCGGATTCCGAAGCTACCGTCGAAACCTGCACTGTTAGTAAGTCACGAACCATGGTGGAAAGTATAGGATATGAAACTGATCCATATACTTTCCACCATTGTAAAATATCTAAAGTATTTCCTTGACATTTAACTAAAGAAGCAAAA